GTAGCAATTTATTTTGTGACAAACCAAGTAAAACGTGACCTGGAATATTCAAAGCTTCCCGTGGAAGGTCACATGGGGGAGGCACAGTTTTCAAATCTTGCCTGGGGCCTGGGACAAATTTCTTGTCCAGATGCCAGGGAGAAAGACCAGCTCTAGCTTATCACAATAAAGTCATAAGACCCATGTTTTAGTCAACAGACCAGAAATTCTTAAATTCAAGTGAATAAGATATCCTTGAAGGCAGTCAGTCACCTTGGGAGGCTACACACTTATTTCTAAGCTGTTCCCATTGTCCAAAACACTTTCAAAACTAACTCCTCTTTGGGAAAGGCCTTCAGAGTTATTTTAGGAGCCCAACGAGAGAATCCATCTGATTCCTTTAGTCACCTCATTTTTTGACACAAGAAGCCAGTACTCAAGATACCTAATTCAACTGTTTGGATCTCCATGACTTTCGTCTATTTCCAAAAATCTACTCCAAAAGCTGAAAATTTGAGCCTCCCCCACACACCTCTCCCAGCTCACTAAAAAGAATATGCTTTAGGTAATCCCAAAGAGGAGTCCCAGAAATGGAAGTTTCCTCTTCCATGTGCACATTGGGTCAAGCACTTTACTATGTGTTACCTTAACGCAAGTGCAAATACAACCCAGGGCAGAAATAAGTATTCCTACAGTGTCTGATCAAAGAGGAAACAGACTGCAGACCTGAAGTGACTTGTCCAAGGACCTATGGCTAATAAATAGCAAAGCAGGATGAGGACCTAGGTTCCTTGACTCCTGGTCCAGGGCTCAATGTCTCTCCTGAATTAGTGTACAGGTAGCCTCCCAAGGTGAAATTCATTCAAAGGAGTATTAAGTTCTGGTCTGTTGACTGAAAAATAAAGTCAGTCTCATTGCTTTGTGGTTATACCTCACAATCTGCTAACTGGGGAGACATACATGGACACATAGGGCAATGATAACACAAGACAGTATGTGATCACTGTGCCAAAGGAAGGGAACAAGTGAGTAGCCCAGAAGATGAAAGGAGGCGGGAAGATCAGTCTAGGCTGTGGTGATGAGGATAGACTTCAAAGAGGTATTGGGCCTTAGAGGGACAACTCAAAGGGTAGGGTCTGGGTCAGTAGGGAATGGTGCACAAGGGCAGAAAAGCACAATGAATGTGTGATGGACAGAAAGCAGTCCCATTTGACTGGTGGATAGTTCATTTAGCAAGAGAGAAGGCTGGGGAAGTAGGTTTGACCTATATTGTGAAGGACCTCTAATGCTAGGTCAAAGAATTTGTACAGCTAACATGAATAGAAGCACTGATCATTCAAAACTATGTGTCAGCCAAAGATCATTAATATTTAGCTTTTGGAATGAAGCATAAGTACTCAGACCCCTGCTCAAAGTGAATGTCTGGGGGCAGCTAGGTGGCGCAGTGGATAGAGCACCGACCCTAGAGTCAGGAGGACCTGAGTTCAAATTCGTTCTCAGACCAGACACTTGACATTGACACTTCCTAGCTGTGTGACTCTGGGCAAGTCACTTAACTCCAATTGCCTCCCCCCCCCCCAAAAAAAGTGAATGTCTGGCTCTGACCACTACCACCACACCAGGCCCTGGGGTGGGGGGAGGAAGAACAGAGAAAAGCCCAGAGTTCTAGGACAGCTGGAGATGATTCCTTCCTGATTCCTCAGAGCTGACTATCACCTCTCCAAGAAGAGCCCATTCTCTGTCTCCCATGGATGCGATGATCAAGAAGATTGGAGGCATCTAGCACTGGAATAGGATACTCTTGGATGTCAGCTAGAGTTTTGACCCTAATTTTTCAACCTGGACAATTAGTATGGCTACACTACCAACAAGCCTCAGGAAACTATGTAAAAAAGAAAAGGCTTGAGAGGCAAGTGGCCCCAATTACAGCACTGATGCAGCTTTGCCTTCTTTGGAGTTTGAAGCAGCAACTGGTTCAGGGGTGGGGAACCTGCAGCCTCGAGGTCCCATGTGGCCGCAGGTTCCCCACCCCTGAACTAGACTAAACCTGCCATGTCTGCCCCTATTGGAAATAAGCCAGAACAGAATAACGAGCCACTCATCATTACTAACTTCGGGCCCCAGCCAGCTTGATGTGCCAGCTCCTGCTCCCCATACCTGCCCACCCCCCACATGATAAGCCTACCTAGGAAGCTGTGGTTCTACCATCTCCTGCCCTCCCCTCCCCTCCCCTCCCCTGCCCTTCCTTCAGAGGGAAGGCTCGGAGGCAGAATTCCTCAGAACACCCACCCTACTGCCCACAGGCCAGTTAGAGACTGGGAAGCCTCATCTCCACAAGAATAGGCAACAACACAGCCCTGTTAAAAGCCTTGGATAGACAACCCAGAGACAGGATTACAGAATCCTGGAATTCACAGGGATCTCAGGGATCATCTGGTCTAAATCATACCTGAATGGGAATCCAGACCTCCACTTGAAAACCTCGAAGCATGGGCACCCAGCCAGCCCCTGAAGCCTCCCATTTCTCTTTTATTCAGTTCTAACTGTTAGGAAGTCTTTCCTTACATGGAGCTGAAACCTGCCCTTCTGCTATGTCCCTTTATTGCTCCCATTTTGCTGGCCAGAACAGGGTGAATCTCCTTTTTTTGTGTGATAGCCTTACAAATACTGGAAAACAGTGATCACGTCCTCCATGAAGTTTTTTCTTCTCCAGATTAAAATCTGAGATAAGATCATAGAATTTAGAGAATAAGGAGTCCATTCTACTCATTTTACAGAGGAGAGAACTGACCTCCAAGGCTTCATTATGGTCACACAGGCAGTAAGTAGGAAAACAGAGATTGGGATTTAGATCCCCTAAGTCCAAATCCAGTCTTTCCACTAAATTTAAATTCTAGCTCTGCAACCAATTAGCTGTGGGCCCTTAGACAAATTATTTCAGTTCTCTGACTCTACTTTCTCATCTGGAAAATGGGAAAATTGGTATCAGCCTGTCTACCTCACAAGACTGCTATGAGGTTGACATAATATACTTTGGAAAGTATTAAAGCACTCCATAGGTACAAGGTATTGTTCTATTACCTCCCAATGCTCTCCATCCTGTTCAATGCTCTGGGTTCATACCTTATTGATGGCTTGGTCAGAGTTTTCTTAAAACTATATTCTGAAGCAAAACTTCTTAAACTTTTTTCCACTTGCGACCTCTTCAGCACTTCTTAAACTGTGGGCCAGAGTTTAAGAAGCAAATAAATCTAAAGCCCTTTTATATCGGCAAAACTGAGCCTCCCTGGCTGATGACAGAGAAGATGATGAACAAAAGTTCATGCTTACCATTTCTTCTGCAGAGTCCTAGCTTTATTCACAGGCCTTGAGCATGAGAACTCTAGAACATACCTAAGAATATTGTGCTGATGCTATAACAGAAGTTAGAACACATCCATGTGTTTCACATTCCTCCTCCATGGCTTGCTCCCTTGTAACCAGAATGCTCAGGAAGAACCACATTGGCAAAGGGGCCAATGGTCTCCAAGCCTTTGACAAGGAGAGAGACTGGGGCTGTGTTTTCACCCATCACTATAGAGAAGCAATAAGTCCTGTTATGTTAACAATTCTACCTCTTCAGAGAAGATCATCTACACTGTGTGGAGGGACTGGACCTCTGATTTTAATGGTCTAGGGAGCTTGCTGCTGAGGAAACTCCTTCCACTATTGCAGGTTGGTGCCTCCTCTGCGACATCTTTGAAAACTGCCTAGTTCTGGGATGTGTCCTAGTGACTAGTCACATGGAGGGAAAACTTGAACCCCAGGGCTTCTTGGCTCTTGCGCAGCTCTCTGGTCCATAGTAACATGCCTTCAATTTGTCATCAAGGGCTAGTTTGCAGAGAGGGTGGGGTGGATTACATTTGGGGTAAATTCCTAAGTTGTTCTGCCAGACTCCATTTTCTCAGTAAGAACCTCTAATGTCCATTGGCGTGTAAAGCCAATGTAAAGGTAAAGTTCACATCTGAAAGCTACTACTGTCCAAGAGCTGGCCTTTCTGTGCTTTACTGTAGGACCACGCATAGAATCTGAGAGCTGGAAAGGGCCTTTGAAGTCTTTCCAGGTCATCTAATCCAACCTCCCAACTCAATGCAGACATCCTCTCTATGAGATCCTTTGAGGGTGGTCATCTAACTTACATAATACTTTGGAAACATGTGGGCAAGTTTTGAGGGTCAGAATGTATTAAGGTTAGCACATGCACTCCACAGTCTATAACACTGGCCATCTCTCTAAAATCGAAGAAGTCTCCAAACCGCAAAAAAGTCAGACAAGCCGAGGGTCAGCTTCAGGTCCTCTGCTGAAGCTGCGGATCACACCCACCCTGGGGCTCCAGGGACAAGCCAAGCCTAGTTCTCACCCAGCAAGAACCGGGTACACCCAACTCCATAGCTTCGCAGAAAAAAACCACCCCAGGTGGCCTCAGACACCTCTCCCTCAGACAAAAATAGCTCTTGGGCAGGGAACAGTTTGAGCTGTGTGGTTGGAGGAAATAGAACGTAGAACTCCCCTCCCCCTTTTGTTTTGGAGTGGGGTAAAACTAAGGTGTACTAAGGTGTGACCAAGTGGGAAGCAAAAGGAGTGAGCTTCTATTAGGGGAAAGGATGGGCAGGTGATGCAGTAGAGCCTGGTAAAGGCTGGGTCGTGTACCCGTCCAAGTTCCTTAAATGACTTGAGTAGGGGTCCGGGTCGGGAATACAGTCTTAGCAGGGTCCAGGGTATGTCAAAGTGTGTGTGTGTGTGTGTGTGTGTGTGTGTGTGTGTGTGCTCTCTGGTTCTAGTGTATGTAAGCAGGCAGACAGGAATGGCCCTACTTCAGCCCCCTCCCTGAGACTGCAATCGCCTTCTCCCAGAGACAAACTCCCAGCCACTAGGTTAGGGGTCCCAGATTCCTCCCGACCAAATGCAAGCAACGCCACTCCCAAGCCTTCTCTGCCCCACTCAGCCTGCTTGCCACAGCAAGCACAGAGGCTCGAACTCACGATCTCCAGGACCATCAGGGCGCCCACTACAGAGCGAAGGAAGCCGAGGTCTGGCCGGAGAGCCCCTATACCAGGCAGCGAGGAACCGGCGCCGCCCTGCACCGGGGTGCTGGTCTGGGTGCTGACTTTGGATGGGAAGTCAGCCATGGGTCCGGCTGCCCTCCAACCCCCAACCTTGGGGGTTGAAGACGGCGGGGACCGATGCTTCGCCTGCGCTTCGAGCTCCGCGTCCCTGCTCCAGGCAGCTGCGGTGGAGGTGGAGGTGGAAGTGGAGGCGGAGACGGCAGCGGCTGCACTCGGCGCCTGCTCTCCCAAAGGGACTGGCCTGGCTCCACGCTCGTTCCTCCCGGGGCGCACAGAGCACGGAGGGGGCCGCCCTACGCTCCTACTCGCGCTTCTGGGAGGCGCCAGGGAAGGAAGGATGCAGGGAGGGGAGGAGAGCCCGGGTGACATACAGGTACTTGCTGATGCTTAGAGTTCCCAGCACCGCCTCCCCTTTTAACTCTTTCCTATTTCTCTGCGCTTGGAGATCTCTGGTGGGGAGTCTCTGGAGCAGGATTTCGCCGTGGAAGCTCCGGGCAAAGGGAAAATCAGATTGGGAAATCTAAGGCAGAGGACAGGGCATTACCTGAACTAGGGGGTTCACCGGAAGAGAAAGAGGAGGCAGGTGTATGGTTGTAAATTCGTTGAGCACGCAAACTTCTTGCGTGCAGCCGCTTGCTGCATCTTTATGTACCCCCCACCCAGCAAAGTGCCTTCCACATAGTAGGAAATGAATAAATCTAGAAGTGAATGTGGTAGTACCCTCCCTGCAGTGCCCAGGAACATTTCACCTAAAAGTCCTTCATTCAGGAAGGCCTACTAAGAGGACAAATTTTGTAGCCAGAGAGAAAAATAACAAAAGTTGGAAGACTTAGGGAAAAGCTATGGGCATGTTGGGGAGATTCTATGTGGGCAATTTATTGGAGGACAAGGACAGGGACTTCACTGTATGAAATCTGCTAACTGAGCCTGCAAATGACTTCTAAAGTTTACTTTGTGTCTCAGGCTTTTGCACAACCTCAGGAGAATTACCTAATTTGTATTAGGAGCAGTCCCAGAACATGTGTGTCAAATACTCCTCGATCTGAAGGGCCAGTTTCAGGACATAATCCTGAAATGGCCCATTTCCTGTTTCAAAACTACAAAGGTTTTCCCTTCAAGTACTAGATGTCTATGACCAAGTACTAACACTGTAGTCTGAGTAATGTCCACTTAAAAAAAAAAAACTCTTGGTTTGTGATTTCATCAGGGTGGGGAATTCTGAATGTGGAAACTGCCTCCACCAATGCAGATGGGCAAATCATCTGTTACTTATGTAACCCAGCTCCCACCAAGGTGGGGTTAAGGAGGGACATTCTTGAAACTATATATGTAAAGGGAGATATGACTCCTGATTAGCATAGAGAATGCTGATCATGATATTATGAATCTATGTAAGAGACTTACTGAGTTTGTTTGAGACAGACTTTAGAAATACACAGCGAAAGAGAACATCCAAGGAAGTGGTAGAGAAAGGTTTTGGAACGGTGGGCATGCATGGGAAGCCATCCCCTTCATGCCCTTGGACTTGTTTCAGGTTCTGGAAGTTGTTGAGAATGGACCTCCTCTAGGTGAGATCATTCTCTCTTTCCTTGTTTGAACTGAGATCCTACTTCATGCCCAACTAAAGAGCTCATTTAGAACTGATGAAAAGTGAAATGAGCAGAACCAGGAAAACTGTTATACATGGTATCGGCAACATTGTATGATGATCAACTATGCATGATTTAGTTCTCAGCAACACAACGATCCAAGACAAATACAAAGGACCCATGATAAAAAACGAACTGATGGACTCTGAATACAAGTCGAAGCATACTTTTTCCGCTTACTTTATTTTTTATATTTTTTTCCTTTTGATCTGTTTCTTCTTTCACAACTGTGACTAATATGGAAATGTGTTTTACGTGATTGCACATATATAACCTATATCATATTGCACATATATAACCTATTTACTCATGTATTTTTTATACTTTCTAATCTATATAACTTCCCCAAATTCTGTTCTCTGTTTTACTTGGATAAATGAGTTTCCTTGCTTTTAGCTATCTGTGATGGTCTTTTGTGTTACTAGCCCTTGGTGGGAAGACAGTGAATGTCAGCTAATGGCTATGTTCCCACTTAGGAGTGATCAAGAAAGAAAGAAGCTTTCCTTCTGGACCCAGACTCATACCGCTGGACCAAAGTTATTTGAAGGGTGGCAGTTAGATATAATTCTAGCCCCATACCCTCTGGGAGACTAGAGGAGATATCTCCCACCTTTGGCTTATCTAAATCTTATCTGCCCTTCACTCTTCCCCAGTTAGTGTGATGACTTTTCTCCAATTCTCCAAAGGGTTGGCCAGACCTTAGATCAAAACTATCTATGCTACCTTCAAACTACATCTATATATTTAGACAACCCACACATATAATTTTTACAGGTGAATAATATCTTATATGGAGGGGCTGATCTGGGGTAGCCAAAGCTGGGCAATTTCTCCTCTAGCCTCCAAGAATAGTTATCAGGCTAAAATTATATGTATCTGCTACCCTCAAATATCTCTAGACTATTACTATGAATTTGGGGCCAGAAGGAAAGCTTCCTTGTTTACTCTTCAGTGAAAGGATAGCCATTGGATAATGCTCACCACCTTAACCCCTCCCCACCAAGAGCTAGTTACACAAAAGACCATCGCTAATAGCTAACAACAACTAAACCTATTTATCCAAGCAAAATGGAGAACAGAATTTGGGGAAGTTATACAGATTTGAAAGTGCCCAAAATACAGAAGAGTGAATGAGTTTTTTAGATGGGTAGGAGGTAGGGCCTCAGTTTAACCAAGAAGGGAAGGAATGATATCACTTAGAGGAGGTCCATTCTTAACAGTTTCCAGAAACTGAAGCAAGTCCAGGGGCATGAAGGGGATGGCTTCCCATGCACCATTCCATTGTCTTTCTCTACCACCTCCTTGCAGGTTCTCTTCTGCCATGTATCTCTGAGGTCTGTCTCAAAAAAACTCATATGTAGTTCAAGGCTGTTCCTCTTCAACCCCACCTTGATGGGAGCTAGATTATATAAGTAACAGATGATTTGCCCATTTGCATTGCTGGAGGCAGTTTCCACATTCAGAATTCCCCACCCTGATGAAATCACCAAGATTTTTTTCTTTTTTCCTTTTTTTTTTAATGAACATTATCCAAACCACACTGTTAGCATTTGGTCTTAGATATCCAAATGCTCCTCTATGTCCACCTCCGTATCTTGGTTCAGGCCTATCCTGTATACCTGAAATACTCTCCCTACCCCAACCCATAACTTCATTTCACCTTTTGAAATTCTACCTGCCTTCTAAGTCCCAACTCAAAATATCCCCTTCTCCAGGGAGCATTCCCTCATAACCACTGCTTCTTCCCAACACAAATCCCCATATCACCACATACCTCACATCAACTGATAGAGATCTTTCCTTCTTGAGACTACACACAGCAATTTTAAACTTCTTTTACCAGACTTATAAACTGTTCTATAGTGTCATGTAGTAGATAAATTGATATGGAGTCAGAAAATGTGTCTTTAAATCTATTTTGCTACTTATAACCTGTGTAATTTGGAGCAAATCATTCAAATTCTTAAGATTTAAGTATTTTCATCTGAAAAAAATGAGGGTATTGGACTAGCTGGGCAGCTCTAAGGTCCCTTTCAGATCCAGGTCCTAGGAATAGTTTTGTGTGTGATAAAGACCTGGTGCAAATGCAGAGGGTCTCAGATGATAATGGCACCCAAAGGTGGAGGACACTAGGGAGCAGAAGGAATCTCTCCACTTAGAGAGTACTAAGGAGTTGCATCTGGGAGAATCATGATGATGTGTGAGATAAGCATATTGGAAAATCTATGTAACATGCATGAACATTTTGCGGCTGGCTCTAGTTGGCCAACTACATGTTTGAGAGGAGCTTCTTTGATTGCATAGCTGAAACTGTCTTCAAAAAGTCCTAGGCCAACTTCTGCTATCTCTTTGTCTCACTGTCTTCAACTGTGCTCTAGTGTTGTGACAGCAAACAGTGAGAGGCCATGCCATGGAGAAAGAGGGGCTGTCTCCCTCTGAGGCCATATGGTCTCCAAGAATTGGAGACTCCTTGGTCTTTTTGTTCATTCTTCCTCATTCTAGGTATAGGATCATTGGAAGGAAAACCACAGGAATCTGGTCCCTGAAATCCAAGACAGGTGTTGCTGCCAGTCCTGCAATTGATACCTGAGGAGCTAGTAGTAATCTCTGCAAGAAACCTTCTGGGCCCATGCCAACCAAAGCTAATCCTCAGACTCATCCAGCAGCAAAACTGCCTTTGGGATGTGAACTTGGTGGGACGAGTGTTGTGTATGAACTGAGCTAAGTTGTGAGACTACTTCCCTAGAGACCAAGGTGGTCTAGGGGAGAGTATGCCCTACAGCTATTGAGAGAAATGTTTGTTTGTTCTTGCTGTATCTATAATTAAATATCCCTTTTAAAAAGCTTATTGACACTATGATCAAATGGACCTGAAGCGCAAAGCTGGTGGGAACTCAAGCTGATGGCAGAGAAAAGAGGTGCAGCCTGACACATCAGTGCCTCCTAGAACCCTGAGGGAAATTGCTGAGTAAGCCTGAGAGGATGAGCCAGAGCATACCTGTTACATACATGCACATATACGCATATATAATGTGTGTGTGTATATATATAATGTATATATATATATATACACACTTTTTTCCTTCTTGCTAGTATGCACAGACATTGTCTTATTTGATTCTTGGATCAGATCTCCCTTAGGGAATAACATGGAATCCTGCACATAGTAGGTCCTTAATAAGTAGTTGTTGAATGAATTAACAAATGGCTTAAAAAAAAGCTTTTCAGTTCTTTTTTTAAAATGCATTTTTATTTGATATCTTGTGTTTCTTACTTCATCAGAATTATTCTAAGTATCCTTCCCCTTCCCAAAGAACCAACCCTTATAACAAATAGCATTTTTGAGAGAAAAAAAAATCATCACAGCTGATCAATACATTGAAAAAGTCCAAAAACCTTTGCAATGTTTAACACCTGTGGATCTCCAACCTCCACGAAGGGGAGAGTTGGGAGTGTCCTCTCATATCTCTTCATTTGAGTTCTGCTTGATCTTTACAATTTGGTTACATTTACTTTTGCTATTTTGGTGTGTCGTTGTTCTTTCCATTTACATTGTTGTGGTTACTGTGTGTGTGTGTTTGGGGGTGGTAATTTATGAAGCTCTCCTGCAGAAGTCAG